TGCCATCTAATGTGTGTTTTGGCCATGTAATGTTGCTGAAATTAAATATGTTATTACCTCTGAGTCAGAGCAGCGATCATGGAAGAGAGAACACAGGCAGACAGCGCTGGAAGCTGCTAATGCTCATCAGTAAATCAGTGGAAAATAAATAGAAATCATGATTCTGTCTGAGCAATGCGTTTTAAAACGAACACACACTAGTGTAAATATAGCCTAACAGATGTGTAAACTGAAGACTATTGGAGCTTTATTAAAACTATTTGCACTGATTTATTGTGTTGGTTTCATTTCGTTCCTTTGTGCAGTGGCTCAGGAGATGAGTCTTTGAGTTTGTATAAACATCAACAATAAAACCACATTTTTTTTTTTTTTTTAGATAATGTAATCTTGTTAAAATTGATTTCATAAAATTGGTATAGAAAAAAGTATCGTTCAGGAACCGGTATCGAAGTCAAGGTATCGATATCGAAAATTTTTGAACGATACCCAGCCCTAGGCCTCATATACCCAAAGCTCGCAAGACTGTGAATGTTAAGTGTTTTTCTTGTATTAAAGGGTTACTCCACCCCAAAATGAAAATTCTGTCATTAATTACTCACCCTCATGTCGTTCTAAACCCGTAAGACCTCCGTTCATCTTCGGAACACAAATTAAGATATTTTTGATGCATTCTGAGAGGTCTCTGACCCTCTTATAGACAGCAATGTAAGTAACATGATCAACGTCAGGGGTTCAACCGTAATTTTACAAAGCTACGAGAACACTTTTTGTATGCAAAGAAAACAAAAATAATGATTTTATGCAACAATTCGCCTCCTCTGTGTCACCGTAGCGCCATTTTGGAGACCACACGGATACGTTGTTGTGTGGCGCGGCTGACACACAACAGCATACGCTGTTTGCATTCAGTGAATACTCTCCAAAATGGCGCTACGGTTTTTGCGTACAAAAAGTATTCCCGTAGCTTCGTAAAATTACGGTTGAACCCCTAATGTCACATGGATTATTTTACCGATCTCCTGGCTACGTTTCTGGACGTTGATAGTGTTATTTACATGCTGTCTATGGGAGGGTCAGAGAGCTCTCAGAATGCATCAAAAATATCTTAATTTGTTTTCCAAAGATGAATGGAGGTCTTATGGGTTTGGAACGACATGAGGATAAGTAATTAATGACAACATTTTCATTTTGGGGTGGAGTAACCCTTTAATGGGTTTTTGTGCTGAGCTAAATAAGTGACAATGAGTAATGTACAAACAGACCAGTGAAACATCATGCATAAAATGTTTTTTGCATGCATGCAATTAATGTCTGGACTTCATGCATAACACATCACCAGGTTAGTCAAGGTGGAAATGGATTACTAGTTGTACTGTAATTCATATCAAGGTGGCCAGGCATGTCTGCCTAAGAAAGTAAATTTGCAGTTTCCCTTTTGAATCCTTTTTGGGAAGTCTTGCTTTCTTGGGTGGTAAATTTAGCATGACAGGATGTGCTGGCATAGGGTTGTCCCCCAACAAGACCATCTGTTGGCCATTGTGCCTGCCCAGTTTTATGGAGATTGGGCTTTGCTGCAGTTCCAATGGATGGAAGCTTACTTAGAGATTTTGATTTGGGTAGAGAAAATAGTTATGTGGACTCTTGGGTGGATCAGAAAGTTACAAACCTGCATGAGTTTGTCACCACCACAGATATAACTCTTCTGAACTTACAAAAACTTTGCAGGGCTCAGCAATATGGATGATCAATATGGATGATGCGGGGTCAGTGTAATAAAGTTTTGAGCCAGTTATAAGAACTGTCACTTTTACATTCATCAATATTGTAGGCTATATCCTTCTATCCTTTCCTTAATGCAGAATAATCTCCATATCAAAGTTTTAATTTAATAGTTACCGTAATGTTTTGTGGTTGTGAGCATTGTCAATTGAGAGTCCACTCAGCACCACCCCTAACTAGAGATGCGGGCCACCAGGAGTCTCTGACCTTCTCCCCCGCTCTCTGACCCCCAAATTGATCTATCTGCTCTGTGGCAGCCATGCCATTGTCTTTTTCAGAGTTCCATTGTTAAAGATCATAGCCAGGACTGTTAGTAAAGCAAATATGCCTGAGGTAACAGCAGCTCTCTTGGGAATGAAAAGATTAGAAGAGGGATGTGTAGGAGGTGTTCAGGTTTGAGGTCACTACATGTGGGATGAATATCACGTTTCAAGCAAGGAATTAATCTTTAAACCAAGGCTAGAGAATAGTAATAAAGAGCCATTTGTTGTTTTGCACTAAATGGGTATTTCGAGAACGTGGGGTCACCGTTGCTGGAGGCTATGGGTGTACCTTTAGTCATGTTTTATGAGAATGAACACCGAAAGAAAGACTGAGACACATCTGGGCCATATTTGTTTTTTTGGACTATATTTTCCATGTGTTTGTGTTGTTTGCCCATTTTATTCTCTATGTCCCCCATTTTGTTCACCTCAGCCCTACATGTTTGACTCCAGTAGTTCCGCCTCATAGGAATGTGAGGCTTCCGTCATTTATATCCCGTCTTCCCATAGATGTATTTTTGTTTGTCTGAGCGGAGCAAAAGCTTCCATCCAAAACCTCAGTTCTGAGAAATATAGTATGAATTAAACTATTACTGACACAATAAAACTCGAATACGACCCGATTAGTGCTTTAATGGTTACTTGAGATTGTGTGTCTTTTTTGGTGTGATTTGGTCTGCTTTTCCATCTCAGCAGTAAATAGCAAAGCTAGAAATCAGTCTGTAGAGTCTGTCTAGAGTCTGTAGTCACGGCACATATCCTGCAGTGTTTGCATATGTGATTCTCACAAACATGTCAAGAGCAGAGGGCTTTAACTGGCTCTGGTGAGACCTTAGTGCTCAAGTCAGGGAAATTCTGCCATGTGTGTGTTTGTAAAGATGACACACACACAAGCACAGATGCACAAGTCATTTAGTTATGCGCTAAATTGATTGATGTCACCAGAGCTGCTCAAAGAACCTTGTGCCTTTATTTAATAAACCTCCCATGGTAAAAGGGAACGAGTAAAAGTGGAACGCAAAGTCACGGGTCAAGGATCTTAGGTTTTTATATTTATGAAATGAAATGCTAAAAAAATAGATGGTTGCAGATGCTGAACTTTCTCTAGGGACACTATGAGCGTCAGTCTCAAAGTCAGCACGAAGTCAACTATCAATAAAGGTTAGATAAGCTTGAACATTTATCAGATATGTGTGTGTGTGTGTGTGTGTGTGTGTGGTGGTAGAGAGAATATCAGTGAGACCTGGTTAGTAGGCAGTCTACCAAAACATCCTAGCAACCACCCACAACACCATAAATATCTAGTTTTACCATGAATTGAAAGTCCCGTTTTGCTATCGTTAATGGGATCAGTCAAAAACTTCTTTCAGGAAGCAGCTCATTAAAGGTGGTGCAAAGGAGCTCAAATTTTGAGCAGCTCTTAAATTCTGTGGCCAATGACATTGTATACTCAATTAGGTTTAACCTTTCATTTTAATCCTAACACCTCCTCCTACTAAAGCACATTTTAAAGAAACACATCTACCAGGCAGTTTTCTCATTTG